AAAATATCTATGTATCAGATTTTTCTTTTAATACCGCGCAGTCAAGACAATTGTACATGTTTGTCTAAAGAACGGGACAGAATATTCGGAACGACGTACGTGGCCCAAAGTAGCACACCATATAGGTAGAATTTTAAACAGTCATTTCTGGGACATGTATAGAAAATCATCTGTCATTATCTACCTCCAGGCACATTACGTTCTCCTTGTCTAATCTGTGCTAATCAGAATCTGTGTGCAGCAAATAAAATACAATCGCCAATAAACTTCCAGCAGAATTTTAGGGACATGAGGTTGTTTTATTGTGTGCACCCCCGGATAGATTTTCACCGATTTCACCGTCACCGTCTACACGGGCGAAAGGCAGACAGAATTGGTGAGGAACGCGGGTCGCATGTTTGTCAAGCACAAAGAAATCACTCCACCGGAGGTGGTAAGCATCTTGGACACCCCGACTGCATATGGGACACAGGAGATGGAGGTTAACACACACACACACATAAATCAATAAAAAAACAAGTACCCAAAAAGTGATTTCCCAGAATGGAAGAAAATTATTCTAGCCAAAGAAGAGAGAAGTTATTTTGATGAGTGTGATTTCTACTTGGTTCCATTATTCACATTTTAATTTCATTGAAATAAATCCTTCAACTTGAAGCAACTCTTTTCCGAACAATTTTTAACATGACGCGTAGCTCAGTCAAAGGGTGGCTATTAGCCTAGTGCTACCCCATTATCATTCCCGTACCTCCGTATTCGCTTGATAAACACCTCTCTGTATTCATAACAAGGATAGAACAGTTTTGCAATGATTTTAGGACTTTTTCGTTTCACATTATCATGGCATCAGTTACACAATTGAAATTGCCAACTTTTAATGTTATTCAAGTTGCCAATCTTGTTTTCAAACTGAATCCCCACTGATTCTCATGGTTGCATTCTAAGTGAATGCATCCTGGAAGCTCTCTGCTTTGAAAGTTTCGTGGCACTAATTGCCGATTTCTAAGCATACTAGGTTAGCAGACTGCTTTAAGTCAGAACTCATGGAGTGGAATTACTCAGACGATTTATTCATGAAGGTTTATTTGTAAAGTAAACACTATTTTGAACTATGATTTACCATGGTTCTTGCACACGGGACTATGGCAACAGACAACGAAGGAGGATAGAAATAATTTAAGGGATCAACATTGACAGAGGGTATATGGAAAATAACCCATTTCCGACTTTTATTAGGAATATAAAGATTGAATTGCTGAGTAAGAATTGTATTCATAATGCTTGACCACTCCTCAGCTCAACTGCCCCGGAGATGGCAGGTATTTACTGATCAAACAGAATGACTATACTTGACGGGAACTAGAAGTGAAACTCCATCAGGCGCAAAATAAAATTGCAACTTAGAGAAAGTCTATTCTTTGAATGAAAGAGACAAGTGAACATCTAGTGAAACTTGAAACTTGGTTCTATCTTTTTCGTCACGGCCAGAGATTGAATAAGAACAGAAAACGAACTTGTGCATCACGACCAAAAGCATGTTCTGGGCTTCACGGTGCACATGTATCAGTTACCTATTGATTCCAGAGCGAACCTTTTCCAGCTTGTTTTGCCTGGACGTATATAACAATGAATCGTTTTGACCTATTTGTTATTTTCAGGAACACATCACACGAATCGCTGTGGCGACATATGGCGCGATGCCAAGAGTTGAAAAATACATATGTACATCCTGTCTATCTCAGTACGCAAATAAGCATAAAAAATACACATTGTCATTCCCCAGCCAGCTGTGGAATGTTTGAAATATTTTGTACAAATTGAATAATTTCTATTATCGCTATGGGGTGGTCATTGAGTGTCGTGATGCGCTATCCGCAAACATTTGGTAGTGGTTAAAATTTATGTTCGGTAGAAGTGTTTCGTTTTTGTTTGAAAATGAATAAAATCATCATCGTGTGACAGTAAAAAATGCAACAAAAAAGAGCATCTACTTGCCTACGAAAATCAGAACGAGATAGTAATCTACAAACCGACATTTTCATTGGTCGCTATCGGATATAACTTCAGAAAATTATTGGAATTATCTTCATTTGAAGAAGATTATCGTGTTCTATGCTTCTGTTTTACTTGTCTCTGAAATTTGTCGATTGATGATGCTGAATAACCGAAGTGAAAGACATTATAATTGGACTTCAAATTAACGAAACTTTAGGAACACGAACATCAAATCAAACTCGATGGTTCTAAGTGATTGGGTTTATAACAGTTGGATGCAAAAGTATGGAAATACCACGATTTGTTGCTATCAGTTTCGGAAAATAAATATACTAACGTATGCCGCGAAGCAATTCTATCTAGTAGGAGAGTTCGGAGTGTGAAATAATCGCATTCTCTAATTGATTTAACTTAAAGGAAGCTGTCATAAATGTGGCCTCTATCGTTCCAAGTAAAACGAGCGTAATTTAAAGCGTTCGGTTCAAGTAATTCCTTGAGGAGATCAATAGCGGCGAGTTTTGTAACAGTTGAGCAGCAGTGGAGCTCGTAAGACCTCGTGGACAAACCTTTGCGCACAAAGTTCTACTAGCTGTGATGTATCGAGACAGAACCATTTCAACCGTTGTTGTTCAAACAACATACAAGGTATTAAAGCGAACAGCGAATGCAAAATTTCGCTCGCGTGGAAATCCAAACACCCTAGACCATTGACTGATCGTTCGAATTGCGTAACGTTCTGTTAATTTATCATGCAATGTTGACATAAATAAAAGGATGGCAGACAAGTAGGGTAGCGTGATATAAACTAGTGGGAATACTCAGTCCATATCGCAAATGCTTTATACTATAGTAGTTTATAAAATGGAACAAACCAGCTGTACAAAGCGTTCCATAATTTTCAGACATTTTAGGTGACTAAGCATTGCACGGTAAGTCACTTTCTATCTAGCTATTTATCTACAGCTTGCAGTGTTTTATCAGATTAAATTTGTTAGATTAATCTTTTCACACCAATAATCGAGAAACGTTGACTTAATCCGAAATTGAGAAGTTGTTGGGGGTGATTGATAGCCATCAGTTTTCATAGGAAAACCAATGCCGGACTTAAAGCAGGATCCCACAGTCAGAATGCTAGCAACAAAGTACTAGCAACAAAGTTAATAATTCCAGAAAAGAAATCATTTTGGGAACATTCTTGGTGTTAAATCACTCTCGGGACAAACGGATAAGAATGGAAACTGAGGCCAGATCAATGAAGTCTGAATCGACTCAGCTCCACATTAATTATGCCCGGGATAACTACGATTTAGTTTACTTGCCAGGGTTTTGCAAAGAATCGTGAAAAAAAGAAAATTTATGCTGTATTGTGTTATGCTTAACTGTAGACCATGTTCTAATGTTCTTGTTAGTTTTCATCTCAGAACGTGATATGAATTTGTTGGAAGCATCGAATATTTAACGCACTGAAGGAAATCAAATAGCCATTCAGTAACGGACAGACACTGACAGCTAACAAGTATGTGTTTTAGTCCAAAACTATCGAATTACAACTTGTCAGAGATAAGAAAACAAGCACAGTCCTTTTGGTAACACAATGCCCAACATGGCAATCCAAAATATGTTTACCCGATACACGACAAGATTGCTAGGAAGCGATTGTACACCCATTTACTCACCCCCACCGGATCACTCCATTTCACGGAGAACGGGTAAAATTAACACAAACCAAAAGTGCTGAGCTCAGCAGTCCAAAGGAAACGAATAAAAGCCGTCATCAGTCGCACACAACGGCACCAATGACTTAATTTTTATCACTGATTCGATCAGCCAATCAGCCAATCAGTAAGCCAGTCAATCGATCTGTTTTTCTGTCTGTTGAAAGCTCTGATCACAAGGGGATTCTTTGAAACCTGGCAAAATACACGGAAACTCAAGTGCTGTAATGAAAAGAAAGCAGACTGAGGCGCATCTGAGAACTGTCAATTGCCACATTGAACGAGAACAGTGGTTGTCATAATTTTTAAACCTTTCAAGCAAATGGTCTGTCAAGGTGAACACGAAAGAAAATTAGCATCCTTTCGAAGTGGAATTTGTGAAACGAATGAGGTAAGCGAAGCGTAGCGACAGTTGAACTGCCAGTATTCGACTGGGCTGGGGGAAGTTCCAAGCGGACGACAAAACGATGGAAGGATATCAAACAAGAGATTCGATCAAACATTAGGCGTTGGCGAGAAATGCGTGAAAACCAGGGTTACTACAATCTGGTGTTGTTGCTACTACACAATCAAAGCAAATGAGGCAAGCAAATTACAATAACAGCATTGGAAAGTTTCACGATGGAAGGAAAGCGATCCATAGAAAGAAGGTGAGCAAAACATAAAGATGGCAAATACAAACAAGCCTACGCCCAAGCATAAACATACAAACACAAATGGTAAAAGCAATCATGTGTGTGATACGTAATGACTCACATTTTATTCCCTACAACTATCACCTTGTGATCGAAAGCACGCAGACGTGTGCTATCGAAACGACAAAAAATAATCGAAAAAGCGTGTTTTGACTTTTGTTTCACAAATCTCCAGATGCTTCAAACGCCACTCATCACCATTACAAGCAACACTCTCACCGCCAGCAAACAGAAATCGTGTTTGATCTACGAAGCGCGTGCTCACACACGTAGATAAAATAACCTTGCATGGCCGTTTGCCATTGTTTTCTAAAACGGTTAGGTTTGGTTGCGTTCGGCAGAAGTTAGTGAAATAGATCGTTGTTTGGCGTCATTTTAATAACACACACGATTACTCCGCGTACAGTTTTGATAGAGAACGAGAGAAAGGGATAGCGCGCCATAGCGTGAGAGTTAAACGGTTAGTTTGACCACAAACACGCACACGGCAAATAAGAAAAGAGTTATTGAACAAACGATCACACGAAAAATAGTCCAATTTCACGGCCGGGTAAGTTTAATGCATTAGCACCACAATTCTTCGACAATAGTGTTTCTAACAGTATTGGGTCATTTCGGAATGACGATAAGTGCGACTCATTCTCACCAATTCTTCACGTCGTCTCAGATTGTCAGTTAGCGAGCTTGCGGTCTGTGTGGCATTGTACTGTCTTTCCAATCGACGTTTTTCACGTTTCAAACTATCCAACTGGGACTCCAAATGACTCAATTCGGCTCGAGGAGTTCGAACCGGCTCGTATAGGAACGGATCGGGTGACATGGTTGTTGTTGTGTACGGAGTATAGACCTTGTGACTGCGTCGTATCGGAGATCGATGCATTCGTGAGTACTCTCGATCCGGACTGCGTACATGTTCAACATACACATTGCGTCCCATACTGGTGGCCGAACGGAGTGGTATTGGACTTGGGAACACATCAATGTCCCTAGTCACATGACGCGAGCTTACGTATCCGTAGGCTGAAGTTGGTCGACGATAACGGCTTGAACGCAGATATGAATCGCCACGATAGTCTTCGGCACGTGATAGGTCATACTCAGGAGCTGTAATAAAACNNNAGGCCGTTGCAGCATACTATGCTAGCTATGGGTTGTTCCTATTATAAACCAAAAAAAAATAGAAAAGAATCTTGACAAACTTTGAACTTTCATAACACAGAAATTTCTGAATGCTTAATTTTTGCTGATCGAGAAGTGCTGAAAAATCTCTTTTCCTTTCAATCCCAAACGATGTTTCAAAGAAATGAGACGCACCCGCAAAAAGAAGGTATCACAAATCTGACATGAATGACTGAAAAGAACTTTCCAACCCCTGGCTTATCCTTTATTAAATACACAACCAACTCATTTATCGGATTGGTCCTGTCTTGCCTATTGCCAAAACAAACACCAAATGTTTGGAATTATGCCCAAGGTTTGTTCAATGACATGAAGACGGCGCATTGCTTACTGTTAACAGTTATATGCGCGCTTGAATAACCTCCATTTTCCCTCTTCACTAGGAACAAAAAGTTCACTTCCCATCAATTTTGTTTGGATGTGACTTTCATTTTTCGACCAGAGGGTGATTGTATTCTTGCTCGTTTGTTTTAGATGATCTACCTTTGCTATCACAAACCAAACATCGTCTATTTTATTCTGTTGGGTTGAGCCCGTTGGGATAATGCTAGGCACTACGTGGCATTATATAATGTTCGTTTAATCTTAAAACTATATTCATTTGGGAGTTTTATTTTCCACGTGGATTGAANTTCAATCCACGTGGAAAATAAAACTCCCAAATGAATATAGTTTTAAGATTAAACGAACATTATATAATGTTCGTTTAATCTTAAAACTATATTCATTTGGGAGTTTTATTTTCCACGTGGATTGAAGTGAGATGCTTTTATGTTTAATGCAGTGCGGTTGTTGTGTTACCGGACTCATGATCCACCTCAGACCTCAAAAATGAGGAGCTTGAAGCTATTCGCTCGAGATGGGATTACAAGAAAAGACAAGATAAGTTATAAACATCCGTAATATATATCTATGTTGCCCACAACAGTTAGTTGTTTTTAAATCTGTCATCCTCGGAAACTGGTTGTCTGTTTGACTGTCTGTTTTTCCACCACTGAGTTAAAAAAGGCTAACTGAAGTTCATCGTACATGCAATCATTTTCAAATATGCGTTATATTGTCGTCATACAACAAGAAAAAATGCAGGGAGTGAAAAACCGCACAGTAACGGCCTGAAAGTGAATGACATAAGAGAAAATGCTTATGAAAATGACAATGCATCAATGTGGAACATAAAAGTGAGTGGTTAAAGATGATTGCTAAGTACAATAACAACTGTCACTGCCATTACTGCATTCAATCCTTTGCTAAACTCACGTCGACGTATTGTCCTCCTTTTCACATGATAGCTCTTGGAAGACAAATGACGCCCGTCATCGTATAACTGCGGAATGTACATTGATGTGTGCATGTAGGGTCCTACGATTTCGTCCTCCTGGGAATCTGTCGGGCTTTGTCCTTGACCATCTCGCTCAAGTGCCAAACGACCTGGACGATCATGACGTCGATGATCACTGCGTAATTCCGGCGAACCAACTGGTGGAGACGAGTGCTGTTCCGGGCGTTCTTCCACGCCACCTTCATTTTGCCCTCGAGAGGGGCTCTCAGCACCATGAAGTGTGTCTGCAGGACTCGCTGCACTAACTAACTTGCTCGATGGATCCACAGTTAGTGTGTCTGCGTTGCCCATCGGGGAAGCTGCATTTTCAGCAGCACCCGCAGTAATGCTATCTCTCAGTGTCTGATCATCTTCAGCTTCACCTCTTGCCACTGAAGTTGACAGTTGAGCACCGACCTCTTGTGTCCAGCCAGACTGTTGTTTTTCCCCAGTCTCCACGGCCCCGTTCGGTCTGCCTCCCAGATCGACTGGCCTATTTTCTGGAGTAGGTATGTCAACTTGCAGCCCAGGCGGCAAACTGGACAGTCTGATTATTGGGAAGATGAGTTTGAGTTAGCGTGAGACATGATAATATTATCGAAAGTAAGAGAATAAAGTTAATTCAAGCTGTCAGTGCAGTAGCAAAACGTTGGTAAACTTCAAATCATATTAACAGCCATTGTTGATAAAATACCTTAAACCTAATCTTTACTTGCTTCCTACAAAAGGACTTTAGAACGAAATCCGAGGTCACACGACAACAACATTGTCTGTTAGAATAATACCAATGATGCAACTGCGTGTTATTTAATGCGAGCTAATCACAAGCACTGGATAACAATGAAAGCATGGGAAAATGGTGGAACACACTCGCTTTGTTAGTGATGCCGTCAGATGTAGCTTTCATGTTTGCTATTCTCCGAAAACATTCAAAGGTATGAATAAGCGCCACTTTGTTTGACACTAATGAGAACATTAGACGTGGGTGAACAGAACTGAACCACAAATTATTCATAGACTATATGTTTTTCAAATGTACACATGAGTATTGAGAAAATCTTGGTTTTATGATGAGTAAGAGATGACAAAATCTCAATAAACGAAGCTTCTACAAATTGTATTGCATTGCTGACTGCCATATTCTGCCCATATTCTGTTGACTTTTCACTGTATATAGGTTTGCTAATCATCAGTTTGGCGCGTTCTAACACTAAGCACTTATAGACAGCATATAGGTTTTATGTCGTGATGATGTAATTATTGAAACCTTCAAGTAGAGTTGAAACACTGGCTTAGAACGACTACGAACAGAACTCGATAAATATTGCTGTTAGAGGCCCACCCACGGAACTCATGGTAGAGCACAGCACTCCATTATACAATTTGTGGAACTTTCTGTCCTGTATTGCTTTTGGCTAAATTGATTTACTAGAAACCTTCTAGCGAAGCAGTACTGAAACCCTGACAAAACCAGGGTTTTATTTGAAAACCCAGAGTTTCAACAGCAAAGTATAGTTTATTCCTCGAACTAATATGAACTTTTTACTTCTATGCACGGGTTTTGACTTCTAGTCTTCCAAAAGACGATCAATAAAACCATGGAGAAAGAAGTTATTGTAAAAACAGATTTTAATAGATGGAGGCAGCTGAGCTGTCTGGAAATTGAAATGTAGTAGATGGAAAGACTCCACCATTTACGACGCTTAGCCCTATCCCACAGTATCTCAATTTTGTGTTGAATGGACTGGTCAAAATGTCTACCCGGGGGTTTTTCGCAAACTATCGAATCCTTTCTCTGGTTTACAACTTTTCTGTCCTCAGATTAGATTGCAAACAATTGCATTCTCCTAAATGCTACCTATTTCAACAAATACTATGCACGACGGAAGCTCATCTGATTCCATGTGTGACCCGTGCTCGCGGTTTAG